GGTTAGCCATTATTTTCCACTCCTATTTACAGAAATTGCCTCCTAATGTAACCCTCTACCTGGAGTTGCTCCCAAGCCTTGTAAAGGGTGAACCTTACTGTAAAAAAAATATTCAAAAAAGGTCATGAAGTACACAAGATGGTATCCATAAGGTCATAATTTCATCAGATTGAAATAATTTACCTTGGATTTTTCAACACTGTTTGCAGGAAAAAGTGTACTGTTTATAATTTATTTAGGAGATAACTTTTTTGGCAAAGTATTTTACGTTATAAACTAAGAAAATAGGATTTATCAATAATTCTTGACATTAAAATTATGTTGTTGTAATGGCTTTTTAATTTCATTCTAAAAATACATTTCTTTTCAAAAATTAAATTTAAATTATTCTCCTATTAAATCAATTGTCAGGCTACAATACTAGTTCATCGATGACATTCCCTCAGGTTCACCACCAGGGTGTTTTGAGTAGGCGGGAGAGCAGCTTTAAAGTTAGGGGAGTGACATGTAAGAATTTGCACTCTAAAATCTGTTCATTTCTTTTCACATAGGTGAGGGCAGGGATAAATGATTTTCAAGGGTAGACAGTTGACACGCCTGCACATGAGTAATAATGGGAAAGTGAAAGTGAACTCAAATTACTTGATCAAGAATTTGAACTTTTTTTTTTTTGCCAGTTCAATTTTGAATGTTATTAACTTTTGAACCAATTCCAATGTTTCCATATTTATTTCAAGGAATTTCATTCTCCTTAATACCATGAATATGCTCATAGTGTAATGGTTATCAGTATGAAAAGTAGAATAAGCAAGCAGAGTTAATATTTCAACTTAGTCTATTGCATTCACTTTTGTACAAAATTCTTTGGATAAGGCATGAATTTATCAGGTTTTCTCTCATCTATGGGTTAAATAACAGGGAAGAATGGTATTCCTAGTTTTAGGTAGCAACCATTATGTGAGAAAATAGCAAATTCAAAAACCATGTAGAAGCTAATGGAAAAATACACTACTGTCTTTCCCAGTAAGCCATGGCAGTTCCTAAATAATAAAGAAAAGGAATCTGTGGAGGACCATGATTGTTTATACCTTGAAGAGCCAAGGCATTTAAAAAAAATAGATTATGATTAGTTTTTATTGACAAAAATTAAAACATCTCACTTGGGCTGGATTTAATCCTTAAAAGTCCCCTGGGTTCTTTTTACTGTAAAGCAGGAAACACATCAGAAGTAAAATTTTTAATGCTTTTGAAACTCATCTAATTTATGTTATTAGCAACTTCATGATATTTTTCATCAGAACTTTACATCTAACAGAAATGTATCTAGAATGAAGAGCCTGTACTAGAGCAGGTGGATCCCAAATACTCTAAATTGGTTCAAGTTAGTTCAAAGGATCTCCATTAACTCTGAAAATAAAAAATCTTCCCTGGTCTTATATCTTTTTTTTTTATAGTTTTATCAGGGGCCCAAGATTAGAGGGTCATTGTGGAGCCCCTTTCGTTTTTGGGACACTGGGCTGCAGCCCATACTAGCCGTATGTAAATCCAGCACTGCCGCTCACACATGCTTATCTCTTTGAACCATTTTTCATTGTGCACTAAATAACCTCAGTATTTATTTGTGTCGACATGGGAGGGGAACATGACACAGTTGGTTTAATATGAGGGTTCACATTTGTACATGTTGCCAAGGACAACAACTGTCTATCACCCTGCATCTATCCAACTCTCTCCTTTTTATCAATGGGGAAGATGCTGCAACAGAGATATAATCTCCAGGACTCATTTATGTTGCTTTTGCCTGAAGACAAGAATACAGCACCACAAGACAACAAGAACATAGCTAAGTGGAAGACATACTTCAGTAATTCCAGCTTGAACTTCTTTGTAATAATGGTTATTAAGAAACATACTGAAACGTAAGTAAATATATGTAAATAAAAGTATCAACCAAAAATGCTAAAATACTGGTTGAAAAAATGGCATAAAAATGCAGAAAATTTGTAAGTTTCCTCACATTGATAAAGAAATTTTAAAAGAAATAAACCAGAAGTCACAGGTGCACACAGGATCCTTTAATGTTTTCAAAGACGTCTTGCAGCAATTTACCAATATAGATAAGTATATAAATTATTTTCAGATAAAGTGTCTCTGTAAAGGAACAAAATGAATAAAAAGATAAGAGGAAAAACTATTCTTAGCTGACATGTTTCATCCTCTGAGAGACTTTATCAAGGAAAATGTAGAATTTATTTTGTTGCATGTGTTTATATACAAAAGCAATAATGTCACTGATTTATCAAGGCTTTTAAATTTGAGAAATTTCATGAATATTCGTCAGGTGGTTGAAAGATCAGTCAAAACGTGAAGTACATAAATTGTCGTAATTCAAAATCTGGTATGAAGAAAGTAAATGAGTAATATTCAAGATTTTTTTTTTTTAATTAGTGAATATTCTTTATATTGTAATCAGAGATATACTTCTTCTGAAAGACATGCTTTATAGTTTTACACACACACATATACACATGCACAGTGACCCAAGTGAAAATGACTCTTTTGATATCTATATATTCATACAAATCTATATCATAAAAATGTAGAATTTATTATGTATATGAAGTAATTATGTATATTTAAGCAATTAGAGAAACTGGTTCTAATTAAAATCTATCTTTAATTAGAGAAACAAGCCTCATCATGAATTTATGATTTTATTAGAAACTAATGTACTTAAGTGATAAAAATAGCAAAGATGAAAAAAAAATCTTAAAATCATTTTACAATTTTATTTAACTTGGATATTTTTTATTTTTATTTTCTTAATGGAAAATGAAAAAGTGGTGAACTGTTATGTAATATCATTCCTCCTATATGGCAGTGAATGCTGGACAGTATCATCACAGATGAAGAGGAGACTTGAGGCAAAGGAGCTGCAATTCAACAGAATGGTAATGGTAATTTTAATCAGTTCCTTCTGAGAATACCATGGATAGAGTTTGTGAGTAACAAGGAAGTTTTAATGAAAATGGAAATGAAAAGGATACTTTTGCTTAGAATCCGAAAGAGGAAGTTGAAATTTATAGGGCATAATGAGAAAAGAGGGTTTGGAAAAGTTGACACACATAGGACATATTGAAGGTAAAAGGGAAACAATGCATAACCTACCTAACAATCTTGTGTAAGTAAATGGATGGCAGAACATGGACTGGGAGAGATAGTAAAGACACAAATATTGGTTAGAGCTACGAAGGATAGGAAGTTGTGGAGAGCCATAATTACCCATGTGATGAAGTGATATGGTAAATGAAAAAAATTAGAAAGCACTTCCAGCAGTATTATTTTAAAACCAAGAGGTCACTGACAGGATTTTAATGCAAAATAATAGTCAAAATATACAAATAACTTTTTTTTCAACTGTCTATATATTAATACACTTAGTGTAGGTAGGGTGTGCATTACACTTGATATCACAGTACAGATATTGAGAGGGAAACAGAAAGTGAGAGGGATATAGAGAGTAAAAGAAAGAGGGATGTAGAAAGAAAGAGAGTGTGACACAGATTGGAAGGGACACATCTTAGATAAAGACAGTTGTTTGTAGTGAAGGGTTAAATCATGTTCTATGACCTAACGATCTATTTGGGGACATTTCAGTATTTTTGAGAGAGACTATGTCATTTTCCTTAACTATCTGGTCTTGTGCATCATTAAAAAATAATAGTAATTTATTAACAAATTATTAGTAAATTTATATAGTAAATAATTTACACGGGTCCGGCAAGTTAGCATAAATGTATGAACTTAAGTTCCAAAAGAAACAAAATTACCTCAATTCTTTTAATGTCCATAGAGAAGAAATAATAGAATCATCATACGTGATAATCCTCAAGAAAGTCAAGCAGCTGTCTGTGTGCATTTGTAAATAAATGTGGACACATGTTTTTTTAGTATATAAACATGTTTTTAATATTCCCAAAACAAACGTACATTTGAACACTAAATTACTTTCTATCACATCTACACACACCTGTTCGTTTTTTAATATTGTAAACATGTGGTGGGAGGTGGGGGGACTTCTTGTCATCGTAAATAAAACTCGAAGTATATTTCTATGGAATCGGTGACGGTAGAAGTGCTTGTTAGATGTCTGTTTGTTGAATGCTGTGGGTGGGATGTAGAAGATTCAGGGGGTAATTTGGTCTGACCTCAGCCACGTGTCTCGTCATTTGCTTCCTTACGATATCACTCACTTTTTCCTGCGCGTTGGACACTCACCATTGCTCATTTTTTATCGGACCCCCACCTATTTTCTTTCGACACCCACCATCCCAAACATCTCCTCCAGTACCAATTCTTATGGTAAAGGGCAGTACTAGTATCGTTTTTATTACTAATACTACTTCTACAACTTCGAAGACGTTGACGCTGATTCTGTCCTAGTAGTTTCTACTGTTGCTGCTTGTTGTCATTGTTGTTCGTGCCATCACCTCTGCCGAGATACCAAAAAAAAAAAAAACGAAAAAAAACCCGCTGCCATCCGACATCGACGCGAGCCGATTGTTGCCATATTGGAACGTGGCATTATCATCTTAAAACATCAGAAATACCCTGTCATCGTTAACCACTTTGTCATCGTCTTTCGTTTGTTGTTGTTGTTGTTGTATCGTCAACCCAGAGCACACTCTTCCGCTGTAACTTTTCCCCCCAATTTTTTTCGTCTTCATCTTTAGTTTTCTTTTTCCTACTCTTCACTACCCACCCAAACACACCCGTATATATCTTTTTACTCCACCTCTTTTCTTTTTATCTCTTCTTTCTCCTCCTCCTCCTTTTCCTCTTCTCTTGTGGCGGTGGTATATATTGGCATCGGCTTGAAGTTGGTTGTTACTTGTTGTAGTAGTTGTTGTTGTAGCAGTCCTCCCAGTAGTGGCTGTGTCAGGGAGTAGCACGCTTATTCCCTTTCTGTCTCGGCCCACTTGCCTATGTGTGCAAGGCACATGAGCAGGCACAGCCGCCAACGTCGTTCGGGTTGTTGTACCGTGTCCAGATATCCATCAAAGACAGGCCGTATGTTTCGAATGATATTATACCAACTCTTCCCGCCTCTGAGAAAGCATTTACTCTTTGCACGGGAAAAACGTAAGTAAAATGCTTGGATGGTTCGGGGTGGATTGTGTAGATATTGGGCCAGGTGGAATATTGGGCGGAGGGTAGTGCTGACAACGTACGATACAGCAAGGCACAGAAGTTGAGGGTGGTGGTTTGTGACGAGAGGGGGTGTGGTGAAGCAAGCAAGAAAGAAAAAGAAAACAAACTCAATGAACGTGATATATTTAAAAATGAGGTAATTAAAGTTTTGCAAAAAAAAAAATATGAAAAGGTAAGCTATTGAATTTCAAAACAGTTTTTTTAAAAATACAAATAATAAAAAGCCAAAAAAATAGAAAAACAGAAAAATGTGCTTAGGTTTAAAAAAGCATAACTAAATAAATATACAGATTGCTATTTAAAAAATAATAATGACAAGTATGCAATCATTTACATAATTTTATATTCTCTTACCTGTATGCGGATAAATAAAAATTATTTCAATAAATTGGATAATTTGTATACACTCGGATACCTGCTTGCACCAATTTAAATACATATGCACAAACAAAATCTTACCACCCACACATTTTGTGACAAGCATAGAAAACATGTATTGATGCTTATTGCTTACAAATTTTACTACCCCCAAAAAATATCTTCTTTTTTTATTAAATAAAAAAATACGAGGATGAAACATGAAGATTTCATTTGTTGCTATTATTTGCAATGTCAGATACCTGCAAACAATAACATTTTCCCTCTGTAGTACTGGGTACAGGCATGCTCCAATATACATATCTGCAAAAATAAATATTTGCATTCAGTTGTTTTTACAAGTTCTTGCTTTTGGAATATCAATGCTGATTTTTTTCAACTGAAAAGAAAAACAATGAATCAATTTCTCCTGTTGCTTTGTAGAAAATGCAACAGACAATATAACATCAGTCATTTTCATCAGCAGATGAGAATCTATTTTTTTTCTTCTTTTTTCCAAATTCATTTTTGGTTGAAATGTTTACTGTTGATTTTCAATTGTTTGCACCCTTCACAAATAAAAAAAAAAAAAAATTTTTAAAATGACAAATGTGATTAATGCATTTTTAAGAAAAATTTTTTTTTTTGTTTATACTGGCATTTCACTTCATGCATTTATTTTACTGTCTGGTTCTTGTCACAGTGCAGAAATAAATTTTACCAAGTTTACAAATGTACCAAAACTATACACTCTGAATGCATGTAACTAAAAATGCAGATGATTTTTACAAGAGTGTTGAAAAGTTCTCAACCGGACCCACTTCCCAAAATCTGATAAAATAGAATTTATTTATTTATTTAGAATTCTTCCTTCGCTGGGCCGAGAACTTTTCAGCACCACCTCGTATGGATGCATGATCAGATATGATGTCTCTATTTTCTTCCTGCCTATATTAGTGAGTGGCTTTTGTTCGTCTAAGAAGTGTAATTACATCTGAGTTTATTTTTGTAGTCCAAAAGACAGCATTTTTACCTACCTATATACCTACTTATCCCTCAATCTGTCAGCTTGTATCTATCTTATTTATTCACACACACACACACACACACACATCAAGACAAATCATCAACAGTCTGAAATTTATCACTCTACAAACATGTATCTATTTTGTGTGCATAGACATGTGACTGCTTTGTGCTGTGTATGTTGGCCATATAATGTTTTGTTTATGTATATAATATATATTCAGTAGGTTGTTGAATGGTGGCTGGCAAGCTTAACTTACAGGACATTGGTAGTGATTTCACTCACAGTGAGATGCCTGATGTTTGTGAACTTGTCTTGGGTGAAAACATAAACAAGAGAGGTGGGGAGAGAGAAATACATGTCTATATGATATATACATATATATACACACACAGACAAACACATGCACACTGAAAAGTACTTGTCCTGACCAACTTCCTTAAATTGGAATGACCAAACATCATATTCTTTAGGGTGGCGAGGATCTTTTCTTGGTCAGTTTGAAAACTTTCCAGCCCTCCCACTAACACCACCACTCCGTGTGTGTGTGTGTGTGTGTGTATGCTCATGAATGTATTTTTAGATATATAAATTTGTATATATATATCTCTGTGTGTATATTTATATAAGAATGCATGTGTGCATATTATATATATATATATATATATATATATATATATTTATTAAAGACATTTATTATGTTTAAATTGTTATTTTTATAGATACAAGTATTTAAGCAAAAAATAACAACGTTAAAACATAATAAAATGTCTTTAATAAATAAATTGTCGGACCTTGTCCATTTCTTATATATATATATATATATATATATATATATATCAAATATGCACACATGCATTCTTGTATATAGGAATGAATGTGTGCATATTTGATATATATATATATATATATATATATATATATATAAAATATGCACATATGCATTCTTATGTGTAAGAATTCAGGTATAAATAAAAATATCTGTAAAAAGAGTCTTTTATTTTTTATTTATGGATTATTAAAAAATATATATATATATATATATATATATATATATATAATAAAGATATATACATTTTATATATTAAGAATAATTTTGGAGGAATACCTCACACACAAAAAACCTTTTTCCATTTAGTTATATATCTTTCCTCTAATATATATATATATATATATATATTTGGTTGGATAGATGTGAGTTTGTGACCCAAACTTACATCTATCCAACCAAATATGTTAGCTCTATCTCTGATATTGAGCGCTTTCTAATAAGTACTGCGCATATAATATATAAATAATTATACATATATATATATTTATTTATATTTATATTCACTTTTTTTCATATATATATATATATATATATATATATATATATATATATATATATAGTTGTATGGATATGAGTTTGTGACTCAGGGTTTCACACTTTTGTGATCATCAGTTTGTCTGATGATCAGAAAAGTGTGAAACCCAGGGTCACAAATTGATATCCATACATCTGAATATGTTAGCTCTAGCACTGATATTGAGTACTTTCCAATAAGTACCTTGAATATATATATATTTTTATGTATGTATGTATGTGTGTGTGTTTGAAGCTAACTCCTTTGATCTTTCTCTGTGTACAGAGATACACTGCAATTCTATGATAGAAAAACATTAAAATGTCATGGTCTCTTTTTTTACCTTTCTTTAGCCCTGAAAAAAAAAAAACAGATTTTTGTTTTAAAAGTCAAACCAAGTTTGTCATGATCTCTTTCACACATCCCAGTATATCTTGTTTTGCCGCCAAAACAAACAAGAACCTGTGAACATTTTCAACCAAAATAAAAGATATGTTATTCATTTTTGAAATAGATAAACACTCCACAAAACTGCCTAAAAGCTTTGACAGTAGATTGGCAGCTCATCAACAAAACAATTAAATGAGAAAGTTTGGTATGCAGAGGTTTATACTGTTTTCTAGGTTTAATGAAAATATCACATTAAATATTTGTGCCTTATTTTTTGTTTGTTTGCATCTCTTAATTATCATATAATGCCACCAGTTTTGCCTTCTTCACTCATTTACATATCAGATATATCTTTTAATTTTGTTTAATTTAGGAATTATTAAAAAAATAGTTGTCTTTAATATCCATCTCATTATAGTGAACAGTGGACATTTTATTTGCCCATCTATACCTATTTATATATAAAGAGCAAGTGCACAGATATGCATAAAAGTACAAACATTATTATATATATATATATATATACATAATTACATGTATAGGCGTATGTCTGTATTTGTATATGAGGATATGTGAATATTTGTGTGTACATGTTTTATATTTGAAAATATATATAAGATGTATATATATGTTTTTAAAGTATATTTATATTTTATAATTGAATGTATATAATATAATGTATATATATATTTGAATGTATATAAGTGCGTATATTATTTTTTTAAATTAGATATATTACGTTTTTTTTTCTTGGGGGTTGTAAATAAATGGACTGGTCCAATATCATAACAATACAGTATAAATATTGATATTTAAATTTTACAACAATCACTTTTCAATCAGCACCTGATGAATTTATTATTAGTATCAATTTTAGATCTGTTGTTATATATTGATCATTGTTTAATTACCATCAGCACTCAATGTGTGATACTAATATGATTTAGTTTAATGTGTCAAAAGGCCACAATAATAAAATAATGGTACATTTCGTTATAATCAAACTTGTTACTATTACAAATAGTAAGACTAGTTTCCTTATTGCTGAACTGTGGGATATATACATATACACTATATATATATATATATATATAATATATATATATATATATATATATATATATAAAAATATACACACACACTCATGCAAACATACAAGCCAACATTTATAACCATAAAAAATTTTAAAATTGTAAGAAAATGTTTAACTCAAGACGTTCTATTATTTAAAATACATACATAAATAATTGATCAAATTAAAATAAAATGATCAATAACAATTACCCACATAAATATATAAACAAATAAAAAAATAAACTTTAACCCCACATTAACAACATTTACTGGCATTTGTTTAATAGGCTTTAAATTTCATCACTTATCATCCTCTGTAGTTTAACTCTGCTTATGCAGTTTGCATTAAGTATATTTTAGAGAATTCTTAAATTTAAAATTAAATGATATTCTGTTTCAAAATAAAATCCTCTCATATACCACCATAAAGTTTCTCAGGTGATGAAACACATTAGCAAAGAAAAGTTTTCCCTTTGTCTTTGTTCATATATATATATATATATATATATATATATATATGGATATATATATATATATATGTGCCTATATATATATATATATATATATATATATATATATATATATATATATATATATATATATATATATACAAAAAGAGAGAGAGAGAGACACCTGGCCTGGAAATTGTGTTCAATCATGAAACAGACTGTCACTGCTTAGTCTTGACCACAATGTCTATTTTTGTATTTGAATATACTCTATCCCTAATATTGAGCACTTTTACCCATAATTATAGCATACATTAAAACTATATTTTTATCAGATATATACATACAAACACATACACACACACACTCTGTAGGTTTATTAGACATATAATGTACAAAGGTATTTGGTAGATTACCATGTACTGCATCTTATCTAAGCTACATAGCTGTCCATTTTGAGCTTTGGTACATGGCTCCTGTTTGTAATACCAATGCATTGGCTGCAATGTAATAATTGCTTTGCATTGCATTTTGTTTCAAAATTGTCTTATATGCTTGCAACTAGCAATTTAAAGTTGAACAAACATTGTACAGTGAAATTTTCAGATCCAAATTTTGCTCATACTAATAAGATATTGAACTTAATAATGTAACCTTAAGCATATATATATATATATATGTATGTGTGTGTGTGAACACATATTTTGAATATTTTAAGAGTTTCCTTGTTTATTTATTTTCATTGTTATGTTTATTTTTCTGTTTAACTTGGAACATCTGTCAGAATTTCTGGGGTGAGGAGTTATCATTATTTACATTACTTTCATGCAGACTGTTGTCCTTATCTTTGTTGTTGTTATCACTTATAACAACAAAAATGAGGACAGTAGTCCACATGTAAATTGGGACAACTTGTATATTTTTTGTATATCTCGATTTTTTTTTTTTTCTTTTTTCTCAAATTGGTTTTATATTTTATAAAACTACACACATACACACACGTCCGATGTTGACATTAAACATTAAAACAACATAATCGCATATTAGGATTTTTGTTTGTTTTTTTTCAGTATATTTTTCTTCATACTGTCGGATCTATATCCATATATTTGCTTACACATATATATATAATCATCGTTGAAGGAACTCGTTGCTGAGTATTGGGGTGCTCATCAACATTTCTTTCTATGTGAATTTAGTCCAACGTTGGATCTGAAGAGATGTCTGCAGCCGCAGCATGGTAGGGTAGGAGGGTTCAGAGGATGGAGAGTTCTGACTTTTCTTTGGGCTCTCCTCATCTCTTCTATTTGTCTTCTGGTGTTTCCAAAGGATGTTGTCTTTTTCATGGACTGTTATTCTCTTATTGGTTATATATGAAGAGATGCTTAAAAGTTGTTGGCCTGATCTGCTTCCCAAAATCCAAATACCTACACATCAAATTTTGGGGAGTAATCTTTTCTTGATAGGGCTGAGAAATGTCCAGTACTCCATTGTATATATGTGAGAAAGATACACTGAGATATAACAGCTAAAATATAGATACATAAAGATTATGGCACACAGAATAGATACACTTAACTATATGATAAACATGTCCTATATACCAATTTATCAAATATTCACACCATTTGTGGTTTAATCTTTTGGAATTAAAATCTATCAACCCTAATTTGGCACTTTCTATTTTCTTTCATTTCATTATTATCTCATTGTTATTATGGCTATCTGTTTATCAACATTAATCTTTTCAAATCTACATATTTATCTATCCCAGCCTGTTTTTGATTATTGGTTTACCTGTGCGCTGATATCGGTCTGTTTACATCTATCTGAAGATGTTCTCACCTATCCAGCTCTTTGTTTGCATCTTTCTCAAATTGTTTTCTAGCTCAGCTAGTTTGCATCTATCCCAGGATTGATCTATCTATCTATCTATCTATCTATCTATCTATCCCAATATATTTTCTATATGCCTATGCAATCTATCTATCTATCTATTATTATCTATCCCAATATATATGCCTATGCAAATCTATCTATCTATCTATCTATCTATCAATATATTTTCTATATGCCTATGCAAATATATTTTCTATGCCTATGCAAATCTATCTATCTATCTATCTATCTATCTATCTATCTATATTTTCTATCTATCTATCTATCTATTCATCTATCTATCTATCCATCTATATATTTTCTATCTATCCCAATATGCAAATCAAATCTATCTATCTATCTATCATTATTTACAGCTCACAGTTTCTCACATAATGTTTATAACTATCCCAGTCAATTCATATCTATCTATTTCATTCTCTTCATATGTATCTATTTCTTTTAATATCTGTTAATATCTATCTATCTGTTCACATCTATTTATATCTAAGGCTATTCATGTCTTTCTCTAACTCTGTAAATTGTCTCACATCTATTTATATCTACCTGCCTGTTTATATTTAAGGCTATTCATGTATCTATCTGTCTGTCTAATGAGTATGCATGAATGACTGGAAGAACAAGGCTAGGAAAAGGTCAGAGGTTACTTAGAGCAACAAAAAAACTGGAAATTGTAAGGAACCTTGATTGACCAAGTCCTGAAAGGACATCAAATGTAGAATACTGTTCTCTCTAAGGCAGCTCACATCTATTTTTAACTCCCTAAGTCTGTTTATATCTAAGGCTATTCTTGTCACTCTCTTTCTCTCATTATCTATTTGCCTCATCCTATTTATATCCTTTCTCCGTTAATTGATCTACTTTTGCATCTCTCTTATTTTTCAAAATCTTTTTGCATGTATCTATGAATATACATGTGAATGTAAATAAAGTTTGCATTTCTGACATTACATGCATGTAACATAAAGGGTATCTCTATACAGAACACTTGTTACTATGCTAGTATCACAAACCATTCTCACTGTAGTCAATTCCAAACTATATATTTACACACACACACACACACACATATATATATATATATACACACACATATATTAATGTATATTTGGACAGATTTTTTTATTTAGTTTTTCCAGCATCCTTACATTTTTTTCATTTTGTGTATATATATATATATATATATATATATATATATATATATATATTAAAGAAATGGGTGAAAGTGCTTGGGACAATATGGACAATTTTTGCATTCCTATCAAATGTAAAAAATGTAAGATCACTGGTAAAACTAAATAAAAAACTAATTAAATTTTCATTGTCTGTCATATTTAAAAATAGATTTTCAAAAAAAAGATTACTGCCCAAATATACATCAAAATGTATGTATGTATGTATGTGTATATATATATATATATATATATATATATATAGATATATAGATATAAATATAGTACAGGTAATAAATCCATTGGTATATAATCAAAGTGGAACCTATCTATATAAAATATCAACACTGATCACCAAAAGGGCTCACTGTATTTTTTATAACATGGCATACAAATTACACAACAAAATCCCAAATATATATATGTATACATATATGATTGAATAAATTATAAACATTATATCTGCTTATTTTTATCATAATCCTTTCATATTTACAAATATATTTTGTATATTACAATTAAATAAGTAAGGCATAAATGGAATTGTAATATATGTAAAAATATTTGTGAATATGAAAGGATTATGATAAAAATAAGCAGACATAATGTTTGTAATTTATTCAATCAGACATGCCTAAAAGAGTATTTGCTGCCTCAACACACAAATATATGTGTGTGTGTGCGTATATATATATATATATATATATATATATATATATATATAAAATGTGTGTATGTGTTTTGTTGAAGATGACCAACAAGGAATATCTACACCCAAGCCCATGACATTACTATGTGCAACTCCTTTGATCCTACAGTCAAATCAAGCTGGAAACACCAATTCTTGTTTGATCACCAAAGTTAAGTTGCATTGAGCTTAGTCAGTATTTAGATGGGGGATCACTTCGGAACACTGTTTACTTTAAGCAACCTCCTACAATCCAAAATATTTTCAGATTTAAATAACCCACAAAGGGTTGATAAGCTTTAAAAAACAAAAGCAGAAAACAAAAAATAAATCAACTTTAGGTCCCCCTTCTTTAACTTTTACATAGGTCCCCCTTCTTTAACTTTTACATGGAACACTTTTAAAATGTTAGCCGAACCAGTCAAACTACAAATCTACAAAATGTGTGTCAAGGACATTTTAATGTTAGAAAAAAAAGTGTAAAGAAAATAAAAATCTAAAATCTACATTCGAAAAAATAGTCTTGACTAATATTTAATGTTAAAAATAAAATGCCATTCCTCAATATTTATGTAGGACTCAACATTAATGTATTTAATACATCCTTATATAACCCCCCCACAACAATAAGTCCTGCCTCCTCAGTTATAATAGTGAATGCCCACAGAAATATAAAACAGTAGTGATGATAAACTTACTAAAGAACAGCTGCATTCGCTGGTTCCCAGACTTCATGAGTTCAAGCGTCCTACGAGGCTGGCATTCCGCTCTCACCCCTTCACTGTTGAAACTCCTAAATGTAGCCGTCTCTTCTACTCCAATAGCTTCATGTCTCGCACCTCTCGCTTGTGGAACTCCCTTCCCTATTCCAGTTTCCCTGAGAGCTATAATCTCCAGCTATTCAAATGTAATGTCAATCGATATCTCCAGTTGCCTTGATCTATCCACTACCCTTCTCCTCATCCTTTCTTCTATCACTCCTATCTGATCTTGCTCCAAATTTTCTGTAACCCCTTGCGTCCTCCTAGTGGCTTCCCTCCTTGCCTGGGGTGAAACGCTTAAAAGAAAAAAAAAGAAAAACTGAATAAAAATTAATTTTCCTTGTCTGTCATATTCAATGAAACATGTGTAAAAGAAACATTTATATATATATATATATAAATTTCAGATAGAATATATATATATATATATATATATATATATATATATATATATATATATATATATATGTAAAGGGACAATAAGAATAAAGACCAAAAGAAAACTTATCTGATGTGTTTCAAGCTGAATGTAAGGATTTTGTTTCGTGACAAGTGTTTATATACAAGAGCAAAAATATTATTGGTTTTTAAAATTTTTGGTATTCATGAGCACCCTATATACTCTTGACATAAAATAAAATTCTTACATTTGCATTAATAAAGTCCTTCAGAGGATAAAATGTGTCAACTAAGATAAGTTTTCCTTTTAGTCTTTATTCATAAATATATATATGCACACACATACACACAACACACACACACACACACACACACACACACAATCTAGAAAAAGATCACCTTCATTTTCATTTATCCTACTACCGACAGTTTCATATACACACACAAAGTTCAGGCATTAGAAAAGGGGCAAGATATTTTTCTAAAGAAAATAAACAATTTCATATTTATTAAAATTCAATAAATACTCTTGAAAAGAAGTCTTTTAGGATAAAAAAGCACTAAGTACATTGATATAGCAGTAGTAAAATTGGATAAAAATCACAAAGAACTTCAACTAGTAACTAAATGTTTCATACTGAGAAGCAATCATCAGGCATTTGGAAAAAGAAGCCAGTTATGTTGTTCATCTATAAACACCCACACCTTTTAGGAAAGTGACTGTTTGATGAAGAATGTTATGTATATAGCCACATTCAAAGCTGATGGTGGGTCAGATATGGTATATATTAGAGCCACCATATTTATTTGGAAGCAAAGATCTTCAGACTGTGATACTTTCTTTAAGAGATGGTAATACAAAAACAGAACACTACTGTGGAGGTACATACAGTAACAAAAGTAAACATGTGGTTGAGGTGAAATTAAAATTTGTGAAAATGGCATTTACTTGCACAGAGAATGAAAAAAAAAATAATGCAGTTTGTTCTTGGAAGAGAAATTAAACATATTTGCATTCCCTGATCATTGCATGTTTTTGAATAAAAAATTGAAAATATTCTCTGAAAGTAAATACATAAATAAATTTCTGTTACTCCCCCCATGCACACAATTCATGAAATATGTTTGTGTGAGTGTTTATAGATGAAATATATTTATGTGAGTGTTTATAGATGAAATATGTTTGTGTGAGTGTTTATAGATGAAATATGTTTGTGTGAGTGTTTATAGATGAAATATATTTATGTGAGTGTTTATAGATGAAATATATTTATGTGAGTGTTTATAGATGAAATATGTTTGTGTGAGTGTTTATAGATGTAATATGTTTGTGTGAGTGTTTATAGATAAAATATGTTTGTGTGAGTGTTTATAGATGAACAAGGCATCTGGCTTCTTAACTCATTTGCCTGATGATTGCTTCTCAGCTTGAAATTTTTAGTTGCAACTTGAATTTATGTGTGTGTGTGATTATCATTCAGTTATCTGTATTAGTTAGTATCTATGGAGCTTCCACTATTTACTTTTTGATTTGTTATATCTGTGAGTTTTCTAAAAATTTTACATGAAATTGTTTCAGACGAAAAAGATATGATTCATAAGAAGCCTTTCATCATCAGTAGAATTGTTATATATTGCGAAAATGATTACCTACAAAATCAATATAAAAATAATAATTTTTCGTTTTTACACACCTGAGATAAAATACAAAAACAATAAAAAAAAAAACATTTTTCATTGAAAAATCTACACTGGCTAATTTCAATTACTTGTATGTCCAGTTCAATAAATACATTCTTATACAAGCATTTATTTTCTTCATTTTAGTCTGTATGCAATTATGATAATCATATAAATCTTTCTTTTCTTCCATATATTTATGTATCTACATAGATAATAATCACTTTAGTAAATTCAAATGCATGCATCTAACTGCTTAATTTGATGTCTCTGATGATAAAAATCCAGAAACAGATGCATGTATCTCTTATAAATGTCTTAAGTATAAATTCATACCAGTGTAAAATTAGTGCGCTGATCTAAAGAAGCGTGTACACATTTAAGCATGCGTGTTTTGATTTGAAACATTCAGTTTGCTGCCTTATTAAAAAAAAGCATCTTTCTACTGACAATAAATTTTATTGCATCCCTTATAAAAGTCTTTTTATAATGATCATATTAGTGAAATAATTCTTAAGAAAGGGGGTTGAGGCTACCTCCCCACCACATCATCTGTAAAGGTTTTCTTATGGGCATTATCTTTGAGGAGAGAGAACAAAAAGAATTAAGAATTCTCTCAGAATGGCTTCCCCATTTTTCTTTTTGGAGTAATAATAAATTATTTGAAGGGAGTTCTAATTTTATATATATACATTTTAAATTTATATATATATATATATATATATATATATATATATATATATATATATATATATATATATATATATATATATATATATATATATATATATATATATATATATATATATATATATATATATATATATATATATATATATATATATATATATATATATATATATATATATATATATATATATATATATATATATATATATATATATATATATATATATATATATATATATATATATGTATATATATGTATATATATATATATATATATATATATATATATATATATATATGTATATATGTATATATATTATATGTACATATATGTATATATATATATATATATATATATATATATATATATACATGTATATATGTATATATATCTATGTACATATCTGTATATATATATATATATATATATGTATATATGCATATATATACGTGCATATCTGT